GTGATAGAAATATAACACAGAATAACAAAAGGAGAAAATCATACCCAGTACATTAGCATATGCTAATAATATTACTTAAAAGAAAATTAAAAATAGTATTCCAACTAGCAATGAAGGGCTAATGAGAGTTTACTTTTTACATGTATTAAAATATGAAGATAACTAGTTTATCATTGTACAAAAGCATAAAGAGATCCACAGATAAGGTGAGAGCCAAATGAAGGTCTTACTATTAGTTTGGTTTCCCTTTGTGCTACATCTCAGAGCCTAATTAGAAGGTGAAAACAGTAAAGGACTCTCATTCCGGTACAGCACTATAGGCTGCAGGGGTCCAAAGCTGCCTGTCTCCTCTGCCTGTATTTGAGATTTATCATGGGTGTCCCCGGCCCCATGATCTGGAATCAATTCTCCCCAAGATGTTCTGTGGTCCCAAATATTATGACAGTGCTATTTTTACAATGATAAGATTTAGAAGCAAGTCTTTTGTGTTCAGAAAGGACTAGAAGTACCACCATTACAGCAAATACAATCCTGAAGGCATACACACACACACACACACACACACACACTCCACCGCCACCTCAGATACCCTCCTTATCTGTGGATATGCAGATATTCATGAATCAAATATTTTAGAAGGGATTTCAACAGCTTAGTAGCATGACTTCTCTTTCTCCAATGAATGCTCACAACTGTGGCACTTGTAGCTGGGATAAAAGCATAAGCGACATTCTTCTGTATTCCTGGCAAGGAAAAGGAAACCAAAGCAGCCAAGGAAAGTCACAGCAGTGGACTGTGGAGATCCTGGAAACCTCTTGTCCTCCAGGGAAAGGGCCCAGAATCAGAGAACAGTAATAATTCTGTTGTGAGGGAAACCATTTACCTAAGCACAGCCACAGGCCCCAGCTCTGCCTGCCACCAATAAGAAGAGATAAGAATATCTGAGAGTTTTCATTTTGTTTTGTTGAATATTGAAAGAGAGAAGTCTTTTAGTATGAGCACAGGTTTTTTTCTTTTCTTCTTTTCTTCTTTAAAATCTGTGATGGTAATCTTAAAATTTGGAATTATCAAAGGCACAAAGAAACCAAGTGCCTTTAAAGAATTTCATAAAATTTATCTACTCCCATTTACTGTCAGCAATTAAAAAATAGCCCCAGCCTTCTGTCCTTATACCCTTAACCAGGCTTCTGAGAGCTGTGCCTGCAAACGGGCACATTAGTTTACCATGCTCACTTGGTTTTCCACACATCTCAGGCCCTGGAAGAGTTTTAGAGAACCCAGTGTTCTGAATTTTTTGTTTGCTTGTTTTATTTTGTATTGTTTTATGGTCCTGAGGATTAACATCAAGGCCTTTGCACTGAGCTGCACTCCCAAACAATTGTTTTGAGACAGGGTCAAGGTTGTTAAATTGCCAAGCCTGGGTCTGAATTAGTGATCCTCCTGCCTCAGCCTCCCAGAGTACTGGGATTATAGTTATGCACCAACATGCCCAGCCATCTCCTCTCTTAATCCCAACTTTTTTACATTGGAGGAAAAGCCAATGATTTTCTGAACATTTTTATTCTGTCCATAAATTGCTGTAAGGATTGCTTATAATAATCATATATTGGGTTCAAATGGTATGATAGAATTTTCACAATTTTTTAAAAACTCGCCGGGACTTCCACTTCATTGAATTACGTCATTGGAGAATTTTTAAAGTGAGCTGGGGGACCACTGACCATCTATCTATCTTTGCTAATGACCTTACATAAAGACAAAGTAAACTTCCTCTTGTCTTCCCACTAGGAGTAAGCGGAAAGGGCACACACCGAAGTTGAGGGGTAGATAGGGGCACAATCGTCCTTGATGTTTATTTGCAAAGGAATGGCTCTCAGGTCCTTAAGAAACACAGTCTTAGGCTGCAAAATGGAAAAGGGCGTTGAAAATGTTTTACATAGCTCAAAGTTACAAAGAAAGAGATTATAATCACAGTCTCCTAAACTGTATGATGTAAGAAGAAAAGGGAGGGAAGTGCCTTCAGGGGCACTAGGGTTCCGTAAGGACTGAGGTGAGAGAGACCAAGGGCCCAGAGGCAGGTAATTTAGTCTAAAAGTTAGGATGAGGGAAAATTAAGGCTACCTTGGTCAATCCTTCCTACAACACAGATGAGATACCCATGTACAAATGAGAAAACTAGGACAAAGACTGATCTTAGACCTAATTCATAGACTGCAACAATCTGAAGCCTTCCTCCAACTCGCATCCCTCCTCCCACCACCCCCAGGTGCAAATTGAGTGTCTTTTTACTGTTTGTCAGGGACACGTTCAGTGCATGTGAAGGCTCAGCTGAGGTTTGAGGGGGAATCGAAGGAAGGAAATGCAGAGAAGGAGGGGTGGTCAGTCCTCATCACCCACTCCACTTTACACAATTTCCAACTTCATGCGCAGACCTCCGTAGACGACACACGAGGTGGAGGAGATAGAGACCTGGGTGAGATTAGTGTGAATGGAAACAAAATGAATGGAGCAAACTTTAGGCAAAAATGCAAGGAGCTCAAAGTAGAGAGGCAGGAGAACGTGATTTTAGGCCCAGCAAGACCGAAATTGGAATAACTGAGAAAGAGAGAAAAGTTAAGGGAAAATATGTGAATTAAGCATTATACAAGTCAACTTTGAGATGCACTGACTAAAAAGTGATAACTTTGGAATGTTAGGTCCGTATTATACATAAAAACTGGGGCTGTCAAGGTGCAATTTGGAAGCTGTTACATCCCTGTGAAAGTAATTACCTCCCTAAAAGATGAACGTCTAGAGAGAAGGACAGAAGGCAAGAGGAATTTTGAAGAATATCATAATTGAGGATCAAGCTAGGAGGAGGAGAAAGAAAAACAAGGAGGGAGAGTAAGGAATGAACAGGATCCTCAAGAAGTAGTGAAAGAACTCAGAGAGTATCACATAATAGAAACCAAAGCAACAAGAGTTTTATTCAGAAACGGGTTCCTAAGAGTCAAATGATGCAGTGAAGAGAGTGGAAGTCGGCATGATTACTTCATGAGAGAAATTTCAATAAAGTCGTAAAGATGGAAATCAAATTACACAGGGGAAAAACAACTAGTAAATCCATAGAAAGCATAGGTATTGGGACATGGTTAATTAAGCAGTGAGAAGTGATAAGTTTAGGTGCAAATAAAACAAAAAAAAGCAAAGAACCTTTGTTTTGCGATATAAGGGGAAAGCATTAATCCTGGGCCCAATAGATTCATAGAAACTTCTACAGTTTTTGTATACAAATTGCAAATCTGTACCCCAAAAATGTATGAATCCATAAAAGCAGTCCTTGTCTCCCTACCACACTGTGGTTCTTACATTTCTAATGTGTAGTATTCATAAAGGGGGAGTCCGATCCAGGGAATTCCAGCCTTGTATTAGTATAGAAGGGTTATTCCTCACAGCATACTCTCCAACCCAAGACCTTTAGCTTGTTACTCTTTGCAGACATTCTACTGGGAACCACGAGACGACTTTAGGTGGGTTGAAGTCTCTAGGTTTTCAAGGAAGGATGTTATTCTCAAGAAGATCTTGGAAACTGGCAGTAGTTGTCACACTCAAACCCAAAGGATGTTTGCAGAGCATCAGATGAGTAACTTGACACCTTATCCAGTGCACGTTGTCCAGGTGATGGGTGCTTATTTTCAGATAATTACTATTTGCCTGGTCTTAAAGATCCTTACTCTCTGCTCTGGATTTATCAGGCACAGATTTCATCAAATAAATGACTTCATTGTTCTGAAGTTTTTGCACCCATCTATGTATTCCAGCTATAGCTAGCAGATGCACTTGGAGGAAGGCAATACATATCTTTCTACCTCAGCTTCCCAAAACCACTTAAAACAATCCATTTCTTTAAAGCAGGCCCACACAAGGTCAACGGTTTAGAAGATTATTTCCACTTCCGATATCTTATCTTTAACCTTTGTGTCCCTCTTCTGCAGTTCCCCTGAAAGCAAGCCTCCTCTAGCTTCCATGTCTTTCACCTGGAAAACGATCTCTTTATTGTTCTATTTTTATGTTTTCAATTCACCTTTCCATGACCATTCTAAATATGCTTCTCCTGGAAGCATTTTCATTGATACCTCTGTTATCTAGGACTCAGAAAAGGCCTAGGGGACAAGAACAATTAAAAGCAGAGATCAATATTTTCCATGACTTTTGTGGTTTTGGCTCAAATGAAAATGGCCCGCATCTCAATCCTGCATGAGCACATGGAAAATTTTTAAACCAAATGAGAAACAAATACAATTAAACTCAAAAGGCTATATGTTGATATTAGAAATAAGTATATAGAAATATAAAAGTATATGTATATCTCATATATGTATACCTCATCCATTCTCAGTTCAACTTCAAAGGACCCAAGTGAAATAACTCTTCAGAAATACTTTCTACAGGAAAAAAGAAAATTCACATCAAGGAACACATGAAGGACCCTGTGATACAAGAAGCAAAGGTGCTACTAAATATTCGGTGGATATTTGAAACATTGAAAGCTTTCAGATTCCTGTTTAATGTCAGTGGCTAGAACCTAAGAAGGAATGTTATTGACCACACTTAAGGTGACCAAGCATTATTTAAGTTGCTATATTATCTTCAAAAATTATCACTGTCCAATGCTTGATGCAAGACAAATTTATTCTGGGAGTCACAGGGGTGGGGTGTGTGGACACTGCTGCTCGGACCTCATGACGTCGGAGCAAGGCTGATATTCTTATCCAAGTCCAGCAAAGGAGAAAAATGCAATTTTTATAGTTCTTTGTCTGCTTCACACACACACACATACTCAAAAGATCCATTATTGTGCATGTACCTTTTGCCTCTCCTTTTGAAAAGCCACATAATGAAGAGAGATTTATCCACTTTAAAGTGCTGCCTGTGCACAAAGTGAAACCTGCTTTCGTCCTGGCTTCTAACATTGCTCTTGCTCCAAGCCTTGTAAAGCCTGCGTGAGCCAGACCACTTACCGTTTGCCCTTGTACTCTCGGCCCACGGGGCAGGGAGGGGCAGCTGGGTGTGCAATCTGTCAGCTATTGTACGGCCTAATGACGCACAAGAATAAAGGTTCCCTGGGCGGACGTTCTCCACATCCGGGCATCGGGCATCGAAGGAGGCTGTGCCTATTCCAGCAGGTCTGAGGAGACTGCAGTCGGCCAAGCTCCTCTGGCTACAGGGCTGACCTGTCAGTCAGTGACAAGAGGTGACCACACCAATGGCTTCTTTTCCCCTTTGAGCAGTATTTAAGGTCTGTGTTTATTCCAAAGGCCAGATGCACTTTAGCTACAGTTACTTCCCCCAAAGCCTGCTTTAGTCCTTTGTGGAATAACATCCTCTAAGTTGATAAATGCTGACTGCTGAGAAAGAGACAAAGAAAAAGACTCATAGTGAGAAGGGCAGATGTAAAGGAAAGAAACCAGGGAGCCAGGCGAAGGTGTTGCGCTCTCTTCTCTCTCCCTCTCTCCCTCCCTCCCCTTCCCTCCCCACCCCCCTCCCTCTACTCCATCCAAGAAAGCTTTAGTACTAACTGAAGATTCGGAGAGCCATGCCATGGGTGTGTGTGGGCTGAGCGGGTACAGACCGGCTACAAAAGCAGATCCCCAGGAGCTGGGCCCAGGAGTGCCACTTGTGAATGTTACTGAAAAAATGCACGGGCCAACGGCGGTACACAAGCAAGCACAATGGGAAGAGCGGATGTGATGGCTGCATCTTATTTTTATTAACATGCACGAATACCAGGCTCTCTGACAGGAATGGGAGTAGCAAGAATCTGTCATCTCGTGTCTCTGATACGGTGGTGTGTGGTATTGTGGTGTGTATGCCTCCATATGTGTGCTTTGGGGGGTGTTGCAAACAGCAACTGTTGCTGCATGTTCTTCAGGGCAGCATTAATAAGTAGTTTGGAGCATAAAAAAAATCATCAATGGGCTGAGAGTCTGGAAAAACATTAAAATGATGATGATGCTGGTGTTTGCCCTTAGCTATGCTGGGAGCTATGAGTGCACAGAAATCAGAGGAGGAACGAGGAGAGAGCAGTTGCTGGAGTGCAGCCTCCTAAACACCATGCCTCCCAAGCAGGCCGTCGGGGTCGGAGGGCGGTGGTGCATGGTGTCTCTCTGTGGGTGTGACCTGCGGTGTGTGCAGGGCTCTCATCACCCTGAGACGTATGCTCAGATTGCAGCATGCAACGGATCACTCTTGAAATCACACAAATGCCACGTTCCTATATCTTACCCACACCCACCAGATACTTGATTCAGGTCATGTGTGACAGCAACCAGAACGGTGAAATTTTAAAACACCCTAGAAATGGAGAATCACTCTTCTAGCCAATGCAGGGGCTGGACTGGATGAAATTAAATATTAAATATTTCCTTCTTCCCCTGAGATATTCTATTTAATCCCAGCAACCACCGACTATCCACAGATAAAAAGTAGCCTAAAAAATTCTCTGTCCTCAGACATTTATACCGTAAGTTAAACTGAAGTCAGTATGTTACCTACCATAGGGATATTTTCCACTTTAAACACATGGCTTATTTTAGAGAGACTGAAACTGTCCTATTAGAAGAAGGGAATTCTCATGGAAACAAAAAAGAAATGAATCTGAGAAGTGTAGATATCTTCCTGTTAGAGCACTGGACCAGCATGTACAAGGGGCTCCATTTGATCCTTGGCACTGCAAAAAGAAGAAGTGGGAAAAAGGAGAGGACGAATTAACTTGTCCTCCAAAGTCAGACTTGCAACAATATCAGTACAGGCCCAGCGGTTACTATGAAGCTGCTTTCTTCTCTACCTAATCAAACAAGCCGACTTGCATACTCTTTGCTGAGCACCTATTTTGTAATTAAGTATTGAAGCACAAAGAATGGAGGAGATAAACATTACACGAATGGACATATTAGAAACATTCCTATTCCTCTGTGAAGAACCACTTGTACCTCTGCCGCTTTACTGAGATGGGGATTATCATGGTCTGTAGGAGAACCGGCCTTTTAAAACATGCCACAGTGATCTGTCATTCACCCAGTTACTGGCTACAAATGAAGTCTGCTTTTATTTCCAATAAAAGTGTGCTTCTATCCCTGCAGCCACAAAAGTAAAGCAATAAAAATTAATTAACGCCCTTTCCGTTTTGTCTTCATTTGTAAGGAATCTAATCAAATCCAGACAGAAGGGAAACCTTGCTATTGTAGTCAATTTCACTGTGTTGTAGGAAGGCTTGGCCATTGGATAAGGTAAGGCTACCACAAGGATAGAATGGCCTTTAATTTACAATCTTGTTTGAGTGTGAAAAAGAAAACATTTGTCCAGGGGCTGGGGTTTCAGCTCAGTGGTGCAACCACCTGCTTGCAAGCTCAAGGTCCCAAGTTCAATCCCTGGTATCAAAAAAGAAAAAGAAAACATTTGTTCAGGGGAATATTTGATATAATAATATAAGTGAAGAGTTTTTTGTTCCCAAATAGCAAGGAACTGTGTTTACTGTTATTCCATTCAAAATAATTTAAATTTCCATTTTGATTGTTTCTTTTTTATATAAAAGTTTGTTATTTAATTTCAATGAGTTTAGAGTTTTCATGATTATATTATTGTTGTTGAGTTCTAGTAAAATCCCAATGTAGTCACACAATAATCTTGGAATAATTTTAATCATTTGAAAATTTTTGAGGCTTTCTTTTTAGTGTAATATGTAATCAACTATATTATGTGAACATGAAAAATGAATTACGTTTTATTATGGCTGGTTTCAGTCTTCTGTAAGTTGGATGGTGTTTATCAATACTGTGTTGAGATTTTTCTAGATTACTTCTAAGTTTTTATTTGCTTCTTAAACCAACTTTAATTGTAGGAATTTTGTGCATATCATTTTAGTTTTGAGGGTTTTTGCTTTATTTATATCTTTCACATAGCTTGAAGCTACAATATTGAATGTTTACAAATTTAAAATCAGGATGTATTTCTTTTTTTCTCATTGATTTTACTGGTACATTTTAGGTATACAATATGATGACATTCATCATTGTGAATTTCTACCTTTTCATGATATATCTTGCTTCTTATTTTTCCCCATTCCCCTGTCCTCCTTTCAACCCCTCCACTCCTTCCTATTGACAAAGACTTCATTTTCAATTTTTCCATTTCTTGTATTTATTCCTTTCCCTTCCCCTTCCCCATTGTGGCTTTTCTTCCTGTTTCACATTATCTATTACATATTTTGACCCTTATTTACACTTTCAGTTTCTCACACCAGAGAAGCTATTTGATGTTTACACATGTTTCCTATTTATTTCACTTAAAAATATGGCCTCAATGTGCATAAAATTAGCTAAAAATATCTCAGTTTTTCATTTTTTATGTCTGAGTAGTATTCTATTTTATAAAAAAAAACCACATTTTCTTTATTCAGTCTCCAGTTGATGGGTATTTGCACTGTTTTCAAGATTTAGCTATTACAGACTGTGCTGCTATGAACATGTGGGCATATATATCACTATGGTATGATTCTTTTAATTTTGGGGGGAAGATACCCAGCAGGGGAAGAGCTGGGTCAAATGGGACCTCTAATCCTAGTTGTTTGAAGTATCTCCATACGATATGCACAGGTGTTGCACCAGTCTACACTCCCATCAACAGTGGAGAAAGGGTCCTTTTTCCCCACAGCCCCACCATCATTTGTTATTGGTTGATTTCTTGATAGTAGCCATTCTTTCTGGAATGAGGTGGAGTCTCAGTATTGTTTTCATTTGCATCTCTTGAATGACCAGTAATGTTGAACATTTTTTCATGTGTTTATTTGCTATTTTTACTTCTTTGTCTGAGAAGTGTTTATTTTAGATGCTCAATTTTTGATTGGATCTTTAAATTTGGATGTCTAATTTTTTTTAAAGTTCTTATACATTCTATATAATAGACCTTTGTCTGAGGAACAGCTGATAAAAATTTTTTCCCACATTGTGGGTTGTCTTTTCTTTCTATGCAGAAGCTTTTTAATATGATGAGATCCCAGTTGTTGATTCTTTGTGCTAGTTCCCATGCTACTCAAGATTTATTTATAAAGTATTTCCCACACCAATGTCTTTAAGAGTTCTATCCACCCTCTCTTCCAGCTTGTTTAATGTTTCTGTCTAAATATTTAGATCTTGATCCATTTCAATTTTAGTTTAATGTATGGTGAGAGATATAGATCTAGAGTTATTCTTTGGCAAATTGACACCAGTTTTTCCAGTACCATTCATTAAAGAGGCCATCTTTCCTCCGGTGAGGGTGTTTGGCTTCTTTGTTAAAGATGAGGTGGCCGGGTATGTCTTTATTTCTGCCATAGCAATTAGACAAGAGAAAGAAATAAAAGGAATAAAGATAGGAAATGAAGAAGTTAAATTGTTATTATTTGCAGATGACATCCTTTATAGAAGACCCCAAGAGCTCCAACAAAACTCTTCTAGACTTAATAAGCAAATTCAGTAGAATAGTTGGATACAAGGTCAACAAAAATAAATCAACAGACTTCCTTATATGAACAAAGACTCACTGAGAGAGGAACTGGAGAAACAACTAATTGCACAATAGTTTCCGAAAAAATATGAAATATCTAGGGATCAACCTAACAAAGGAAATTAAAGAACTCTACTCTGAAAACTAAAGGACTCTGAAAGAAGAGATCAAAGAGGATATCAGAAAATGGAAAGATATCCCTTTCCCTTGCATAGGAAGAACCAATCTGTGAAAATGACCATACTTCCAAAACTGCTATACAGATTCATTGCAATCCCAATTGTAATTCCAACAGCATGCATCACAGACCTTGAGAAAATAATCCAAAAATTCATTTGGAAAAAGAAGAGACCTAGCATAGCAAAAGCAATTCTAAGCAACAAAGGCAAGGTAAGGAGTATCACAATCCCCAATTTGAAACTATACTACAAAGCTACTGTGATATAAACAGCACAGTACTGGAAAAGAAGCAGATCCAAGGATCAGTGGAACAGATTAAAATCAGAAGATATTTTTGTGAGGTCGATCACCTCATAATTTTCATTATAAAATATTATTTCTTCTTGCTGATATTGTCTTTTATCTCTTAATATAAGTGTTTTCTTG